TTTTTCTCTTTTTCTTCCCATTTATTCCAATTGCAGTTTGTTGAGCTACTTACAGTAGATCAAGGGTAGCCCCTATTATATTGTATGTTGAGATAAATATGTCTTGGGAAGTGAAAAAAGGGGACATGTGAAAGTAGGAGGAAAGAGGCCCTGTGATCCTGATGTGAGGTTCACCCTATGCGTGTTAGAGAAGGACAGGGGTCCATGAATAAGACATGGAAGTTGGGAACACCGCCATAGCTGTCACAAAGAAGTGGGAGATGGAATATTGGAGAGATGTGCCTGTAATTAGAGAAGCAGAACTGTAGCAGACAGAAATGTTACTCAAGGTCTGGAGCACGCCTCAGCCCAGAAGGACTGTGTTTGAACACTGTCTCTGCTGATATCATACAAACATAGAGTCTAGCCACCTTAGCAGTGTCTGTCCTCACTGCCTGTGGGGCACGTGTTGATGTGTAACTTCTTATGTAATTGAGTCTCACTTGCCATGCTTTTAGCTACCTCCCAAATCTTCCTATGACCTGTAATGATGTGACGAGTGGTATCCTCCACTGGTGTTTTATGGTGTGTGTGTGTGTGTGTGTGCGAAGAACCCAGATTTATTCCCTTAGATAATTTCTGAGATGTGTCTTTGTAACTTTGAATAACATTTGTAAATATTGTGAAAGTTCACCAGATTCCACTCTCACAAAGTGTTTGGAAGCTTCTTCATCTACACCAAGTAGTAAGAAAAAACTCACATTGAGAACAAGGCTTGTGGTTGGAGAAGATATTTATTTGGAGGCTCTTCAGGATCTGGAGCAGACCGTGGTGGACAGAGAATCAGAGTGAGAAGGGGTTAGGGAGGAAAGCCCAGGGGACAGGACACATGGTTTTGGGACCTGGGAAGCCCCTGACATGTCCATGGACCTATGCCACCTACATCTCAGGTGTCACAGGTGCTACAGGTGGAAGAGGAGAGGGCGGGGAGTCATCAGGGATGGAGAATGGCAGGTCTGTAGTGTTAACAGCTCTATCCTAGTGCAGAGAGGTCAGTGGGTCAGCTGTGGGTGCCTTAGAGCTTAGACCCCCAATGAGGCTGCAGATGAGAAGTGAGAAGACAAGGAGGAAGACTTCTGGGAGGTGAGTGGGTGGTGATTGCAAGATATCAAAGCACCTGAGGTGGTCCTCAGTCTCTATCAGGGTCTGGTGAGTTGGGACTCTGAGCGCCAAGTCTCAGGTGATGTTTCTCCTGAAGCAAGTGACAAGGGCTTGCTCTTCAGGGATCTTTTGGGTGCCCTGGTAATGACTAAGGGGCCCCACATGGGCTGGAGGCACTGAGGTCTGTTTCCAGAGCTTCAGATCTTGCACTGGCAGCAAATGGGGACACAGCAGCTGTGTTTGCAGCAGCTGGACTGGCAGCAGCTGGACTGGCAGCAGCTGGGCTTGCAGCAGCTGGACTGGCAGCAGCTACTGGATCCACAGCCTCCCTGGCAGCCCCCACAGGAGCCACAGCTGGAGCAGGAACAGACAGGCACGCAGCAGCACACGGGCTTGCAGCAGCTGGACTGGCAGC